TTAGTCATGTAACCGTCCGATGTGATTCCATAGTGTTGCGCAAGGATGAGACCCTCCTTGTCTGGGTAGCATCCCGGGGTCCTGGTTATCTGGCCAGCTTCCTGGGGTCTTCATTGCTCCAACCGGGAAGACCTCTTCCTTTGTTCATGATGAGGGGATGCCTCGTTAAAACCTTACTAGGACAAAACCCGGTGGGAAAAAAGCCTAGTAAAGGAAAAAGAGTACACCAGTACCTCAAAATAAAACAGAGGAAGGTCAGTCTCGTCGGTTCTTCATTGAGCGTCTGCTTTACTGGTAAGACGAGATATGTTTTGGGAAGGCCAGTCGCACGTCTGTTTTCCAGTGATGGCGGTCGAGCCAATGTATGCTCGGGAGAGGGTAGTTGCATAACTATGCACATTGATCCCCGCTGCTTGTGAGAGGATATGGTTTCCTTCGCCTGGGTAGCAGTTTTAGGTCTTGTTTATCCGATTAGCCTCCCAAGGTCTTGTTCTTCCAATCAGCAACTTGGGGTCTTGTTCGTCCGATTAGCAGCCCAGGGTCTTGTTTTTCCGATCAGCAACCCGGGGTCTCATTTGTCTAATTAGAAGCCTGAGGTCTTGTTCCGGTTAAGAGATCTCTTCTTTGAATGCGCCCAAAATGGAGCTAAAGGGTGAGCTCTCCGGCCACTGCGCGCAGCTGCAATGGTCGCCATCCGTTGAGTGGATGGCAAAAATGGGTCTTCACTTGTGAGTAGTGCTATTCTGACGTTCTCGGGAGGATGCGGTGAGTAGTCCACCATGACAAGTAGTACCTGTTGATTGCTATTATTACTTGTTACAGACATGGTAGGTAGGAAAGGTGCCCTCGTTGCTTTAGCTGCAGTGCAAGATGCTAAATTTTTGCCTTCAACATCTAATGAAGGTCTGTCTCATGCAGGGAAGAAGCTCGGAGCTTCTCCGTCTGGTGCCGGAAAAATAGAGAAGCTTCCCTGCTTTGCGAAAAGCGACTTTCTAAGAAGAGAAAATGTATAATCTGCTCCTTAGGCCGGGTATGGGGAGATAACTCAACCGGTGGAACCCTCTCTTACTCTGTTCATTTCCTCACAGGTATGGCTGGTTGGAGAAGCGCACTTGCTCCCTTCCCTGACCTTCGTTTCCTCATAGGTATGGTAGGTCGGAGAAGTGCACTTGTTGCCCCTACCTTGACCTTCATTTCCTCGTAGGTATGGATGGCCGGAGAAGCACATTTGCTGCCTTGGATGCAAGTTTCGACTTTTGACATCCGATGCAAGTCCATCCAATGTCGGGGAGCACACAACTTCTCCACATGATGCCGAGGAGAAGCACGCAGCTTCCCTGCATAATGTCAGGGAGATGCTTAGAGCTTCTCTGCCTGATGCTGGGGAGAGGCACGCACCTATTTGACTAAAGGTGTGTGCCTCTCCCCAGCATCAGGCAGGGAAGGTGTGTGCCTCTCCTCAACGTGAGGCAGGGAAATAGGGTGCAAAGTCTAAAAGTTTTGAAAATGAGGTGAAAAGTAAATATCACCCAAAAACGGGGTGCAAAATCAAAATATCCCATCCTGTAATGGGCTTAATTAATTGAGCCAATGACTGGCAAATAAGACTTCTCATCATCTAACTTAAATTCTAGAAACTCTTTGCTAGGAAACTATGTTGCACGGATACGCGAAAATCATTAGGAAACGTGAAACGTCAACTTTTGCTCAAAAAAAGGCTTGATTGAGAGTTTCCAAAGAGTTTCTGGAAAGTTTTCGAAACGGAAACGTACTCTTTCCAAAGAGTTTCCGTGCTACATAGTAGGAAATAAGAACACACCCAAAACAGCATGCAATTCGAAAGAAAAACACAAACAGAATAAAACGGAATTAAAACAGAGTTCACTCATCTTCTTCCAAACTGTAGCCATGCTTGCATTCCATGGCGGCGGCTCAGGAGGGGGACGTGCCCGCCGCTCATCCGCCTCAATAGTCCACCTTTTGACGATATCCTCCTTTATTTAATTTAACATCCCTTGCTGCTAAATCGAAACCATACTCCGCCACAGCTTATCCACTTTTGCTTTGTCAACACTCGTCCTTCAACCAGAAACAACGGCAGAAGTCGAGTCCTGGCCGCCAAACTCCAAAGCGCTGCATCCCTGGTCCCGAGCCTCACGATGCTGCGTTATGCCTCGCCCGACAAACCTCCAGAACGCCGTTTCACTGCTCTTCCTCGATGAAACCACAAACCACGATAATCGCCCTTGCCTCCTATATGATCCCCTCTGTCCGACCTCCAAATTTCTGATGATAACAGGTGGCCGGCCGAAACCAACCCCGCTCCTCAGCTAAGCCGATAGCAGACAAATCAATGTTAAGCGTTACCTTGCGGAACCCTAGAGTCAGAAACTAAAACCTTATCAATTCTATTATCATTTTTTATTTGTGAATTTTAAGCTAAGAATTTTGATGCTCAAAGAATGAAGGTATAATACTACAATGCCGAATAAGAATTAATTTTGTTTTATCACAATCTTTGGATATATTTATAAAAGGTAATCAATAATTTAATGTAATCACAAATCATTAAAGTTGAAATTAATTTTGACTTATATGTAGTATAAATATATCAATATGCGTATTCAACTCAAAAATCATATTTAGGTATGAATATTTATATTTAATATAGTGATGGATAGAAATGAGAAAATTTCAAAATTAGGAGCGCATTAAAGGAGTGCTTTGTATAACCTCGTATAGTTGAAGAAATTATATGCATAACCAGGCACTTTTTCTAAATGCGCCTCTATGTTAGGTCTCACTAAACCAATTTCTTAGTAGTGTCAGCCAAAATAGTAACTAAATCTTACTTATTTTGATTATTATAAAACTAAATTTAGCTAAATCAAAAATTACGTATTGGATGAAAAATTTGACTAATAAGCCAAAAAAAGCGCCACCAAATGGGCTCTATATGCAATATTGTTGTATTTATGAATTTTGATTTATTTGTGAAAAATTAGGAATACTGATAAAAATGTTATAAGATTATTAAAAAGTGGTATTTTACGTCATCCGCTCCAGTAGTAGGCTTGTGCTTCCCAATTGTCCCATTCTTCCCTTGCCTTTTGCTTTTCTTTTCCTTTTGTGCTCTGATCCCTATGAAGACTCGATCTATTTTTAAAACCCTACACCTCCCTAATTCATTTCTAATAACCCGTCCCTTTTTCCTCCCCAATGTAAGAAGCATTTAGGAGTTAAAAAAGATCCACATCATTTAAGTTGTTTGGACTCCTAATTTCCTAAAACCTTTAGATTAAATGAAAATAAAGGAGGTGAATCTCCTCCTCCTCCTTCATAGGTGTGGCAGCACAAGTTCCTGCACGGTTGGTCACTATTTGGTGGTCTAATTCCAGTCACTGAAATTATAAGTCACTACATATTAGTCACATTTTTGGAATTTTGTTTATATTGTTACTTATTTGTCATCAAGCCTTTATTTGGTAATATTCATAAAATAAGACCTTAAAAGATAATGAGACCCATGGTGCATATGAGTTCTTAATTTAATTTTAATTTGAATTTTGAAACTTTATAGATATTCTAATATATTTTTTGAATATTTAAATTTTAATTATTAAATTAATCATCAATAGGAAACATTTAACTCTAATATTGATTGACAAAAAATTGTTGACTTTGCAAAACAATTTTGGATTAAGGTGGTACTATATACTACGTATTATATTAAAAAAAATCATGTTAAGTACTCAAGTTATTAGACGAGAAAACTTTCCCAATATAAATACACACTTTGTAAAATGTTTCAACAATATGTCGCTTTCTTTCTAAACACGTGAACTCTCCGTTTTTCTTGTAAAAGCTAAGCTCAGACTATAACAGTTATTCAAAGTGATTTAGTACACGTTTATGTTTAAGACTACATCAGTTATTCAAAGTAATACTCCCTCTGTTCCATTTTATAAGATATCTTTACTATTCACTTGGTCAACACAAATCACTCTTAATCTCTTACTTTATGTATCAAAATTTAATGAAATTTGAATTATTTTTTGCAGGTTTTGTAGCGGGTTTAATGTAGTTTTTGAATATTTAATTTTTTTTCTAAAAATAATTTGAGTGCAGTCAGGGACCAGTTTGCTTTATCGTCGGTCAAACATCGTAAACCGAAAAGTATCTTATAATTCGGATGGAGTAGGTGTGTATGCAACAAATAAATCTATATATATAGTAAAACACAAAAGTCCCAAAGAGGGAGAACAAGGGGGTGTTGGGCGGGAAAAAGTGTTACTGAAAAAATGGATGTCCCATCCGTGTGGAATACATATGGACACATTGACACAGTAAGCAATAGTGTGTAGAATACTTTAATTAATATTTAATAAGATGCATACAGCTACAATTATTGTAGAATACGAATGACTACAAATAAACAAAGAGAGAGGATTATGCGGCTGTTCAATTAATGCTTCCTGCTTTGCCGATCCTCATTCTTGCACAGTTTACAACATTCAAGCATTTAATACTATTTGCAGCTATCCAATGAAATTCATGAAATAAATACCCCATCGAGTGACTCTACCAAACAAGCTTCTTTTTGCCAACAAGTGCTCTGTGCTAAACATTCATCTATTTCATCGTAATTTTTTTATCAAGTTCTTTTTCATCCTTCAAGTCAAATAAATCAACGAGTGAACTGTTTGCAGCCAATTATTCATACGGTTCATGTAATTTTTCTTATAATGTTTGTTTGTTTTTTCTTGAAGATGTCTCCAACGTTTGGTTTGGTGAAGGATATTACGCCTAGCGACACACATTGGGCACTTCGTCTGCGTTTGCTTCGTGTGTACGAAAACATAAGCGACACCGGTGACATTAGAGGATTGGAATGTGTATTCCATGATAAGGAGGTAATAATTTCGTTCTTTATTTGAATATTATTATTTATGGGTGGAGTCTGTCCATCTAATGAAGCTGTGAATTTGTATTCGTTGTAGGGTGCTCGAATTCATGCTACGATAAGGATGTCGCAGATGGCTAAATATAGACAACTTCTTAAGGAGCGAAGTTTGTATGCTGTCCGACGTTTCATTGTTGCAATTGATGGAAAGAAGTGTAGGACAACGGATAATAAGTTTAAGATGATATTTTATGAAAAGACAGAGGTTATCTATTACGAGGATGATGCATTTCCTAACCATGTGTATAAGTTCAAGGGATTTGAATCATTGTTGAATGCGAGAATAATTGATGAGAGTGAGCTTTTTGGTGAGCACATTACTTTTAATATAGATATTTTTTTTTTATTTTATGGTATAATAAAAACTTTCTAATAATGTAATGTAAAAAAAAAATAGATGTTATTGGACAGGTTGTTTCAAAGAAAGCGGTTCGAGAAGTGATGTATCAGGGAAGACCTCACAGATTGATAGAGGTCACTTTGCAGGATCCAAGGTTCCCTAATATTTTTCTTCTACAGTTTACCTTTTTAGTGCATATTTCTACTTGGCACAAATGTATAATTGAAAGTGTTATGAAATAATACAGGTTGAATCAATTGTCATGCACGTTTTGGGATAACTTTGTTGATCAAATTCTTCCATATATAGGCGATGATCAGACTGAACCGGTCATTGTGACTTTACAGTTCTGTCGGGCAGGAATATTCAGAGGTTAGTGTGTTAAGTAAAAATAATGCAAAAAATGGTATATTGAAAATATATTTAATTAGGGAAAATGGCAGATTTTGAAAGTTCATTAGGGACAATGGCAGATTTTGAAAATAATCTTATTAAAAGTCTCATACAATCTTTATAAAGTTGATGTTTATACATACGAGTCTCAAATAATACATATAAATTTTAAATTGTTATAAAACTGCCACTTAAAACTAAGGTCATTGTTTTGGGAAGAAGAAAATGTTGAAATGTTGAAATAATGTTAATTTATATTTTTTTGGTTCACATTAGTAGTTAGTATTAGTAAGTTAAAATGAAAAACTGATTAACGGATGTTGGATTTGGAAATGAAGGTGAACCAAAAATATCAACCAACTACAATGTCACGCGTGTTGTCATTAATGGAGATGATGTTGAGTTTCAAGATTTCAAGAACAGGTTTGAGAATTTATCCAGATTGTGTTTATTGTTAATTATAATTATATAACTATAGCATGTTTTGTGTTTACACAGCTTGCAGGAAGTGAATGTTCTCACTCAGCCGATACGCACTGTTTCAGTAACTACAGACCGACAAATGAGCATTTCTGAGGAGCTTGAGAGTCTGGAACAACCACTTAAAACAATAGAAGAACTATACGAGATTCAGGAGGTAATTTTGAGACTATTGTTGTTGTGAATGATTAATGTTTACAGCATAACAGGATTAAAAATTGTTTAATAAATAAAAATGATTGATTTTAGGTTGGGAGCTTTTGGATTTCTGCAAAGGTTGTGGCAATTGAAAGCGATAAAAATTGGTGGTATCTTTCGTGCACTAAATGTCGCAAGAAACTGGAAAAAACCAGTTCCAAATTTTACTGCACCAAGTGCGATAAACCTTATTCTGATGGTATTCCAAGGTGATTTTAATTCCCCTCTATTAATATTTTAGAAACTATGATTCAAATACACAAAAAAAAAAATCAAAATGTTGTCAAGGCTAATGCATAAATGCAATAGGTATAAAGTGATACTCCGAGTGATCGACTCTACTGGAAATGCACCCTTACTCATTTGGGATGACGTTGGGCAAGAAATGTTTGGAAAGGACGCAGTTGAGTGTCAAAACATGATGTTAAGCGTAAGTATCATTCGTTTTTTCCAGTATTTTTGTTGTAACTTAGTTACTGCATCTGATTAGTCGAAATGTGCTTAATTATTATCAGAGTGGACGTCAGGAGAGTTATGTTCCCGCTGAGATAGAGGCCGTTGTAGATGTGTCAATGCTATTCAAGGTTCAGATTAAGAAGGAACAAATTGGAAACTACAATTCAGCCTTCAGTGTGATGAAATTCACAAGAGATGAAGCTCTTATTGAGAAATTCAATGTTAATGGGAATGATGAACAGGTTCACCATTGAGTTTAGATTGATTAATTTCCAATTTTTTAATTAATACTATAACAGTAATATAACTTTTCTATTAATGTTATATAGGAATCTGATTTCATATCCAAGATGCACCATGTTGATTCTCACTGTGAAAAGGTAATTATGGAATTGATATTTGTAAATTACTGAAGTTACCTTATAATCATTTTGATGTGAGTTTTAGCTTATGCTATGGTGTAGGCATATTCTTCACAAGGTGAAGTTTCTACTCCTGATCACGGAAAAGCCAACAACGAAGGGCACAAGAGTTCAAGCGCTGGAGAAAAATTGAAGAGGGATTTGATTGGGGATTCCTCATGCAACTCTTCATCGAAGAAAATGAGAAAGATTGTCAAGTTGGAGAAATGAACTGCTATTTCTCTTATGATTTTGCCAAGAAAAAACTAAGTTTTATTTTGCAACAAGTTTTGGACAATTGTTTTGTTGTGTTTGTGGAAGCATTTGATTGTTTCGCAGATTGTATTTGCTATTACCCACCATTTGATGGTTTGGGAGATTGTATTTGCTATTACAGAATATTTTGTTTAACCTCTATGTTTTGTCAGAACTGAATGCTTTTGTTTTGTTTGAACTGGGAGCTGTTTGTTTTGAACTCATTTGTTTTATTATATGATATGGGCTTTGTTTTGAATGATAAACCGTGCCAATTAATTTTGGTGAAGATATTTATTTTATTTTCACATGGGGTGTCTTTATTTGTAAAACCATTATTATAAAAATTATATTTATAAAATTATTAACTACACCTAATGAATAAATACGTGTGGAAAACATAAATTAATTATAAAATTATTTTCTCTTTGTTTTTGACCGCACAATCTTTGTATTCATGCGAATGAGCCTTTTGGAGTTTCTACAGAATAAAAAGTCTGGCCTTACATTTAATTGCATAAAAGGTGATTATCAATTAAAGACTAAGGCCGAGATTATGCCCAGTTGTATAGGTGATATTTATAATTCGTATAAAGTGGTTGTGAGATATTAAAATTTACCTTTGTGGCTTTTGAAATTTCTAAAAATTTTGGATATAAATATGGCTTTTAGAGAAGGAGTCAGCCATTTAAATATTCCATAGTGAGTTACAGCCACTATTTTTGTGCCTTTTGAGCTTTCTAAAAGTTTCACATATAAATATGCCTTTTAGAATTTCTAGGCATGATAAGAAGTGGCAGCTCATTTATTTATTACGTGGGTAGCTAGAATGATAAATATCTTAGGGATTTAAAAAAAAAATATTATTGCATTAATATGATATTTATAATAAAATATGTGGTTTAGGGGAAATTTGTCATAGTATAGATAATACCAACAAAACAACACTGTTCAACAATGAATGGCCTTTTGAAGTTTCTACAGAAGAAATAAGTTTGGCCGTACATTTAGAACCCATTTGTAGCCCGTTTGGTAGCATCAAAGTCAGCTGTTTTGGCTGATTCTGCTGAAATTTATGAAGTTCTGGCTGAAGTGGCTGCATTGGCTGATTTTGCTGATTTAAGAAAAAATTAATTTTAAAATATATTTTATTAATAAAATAAGAAAAAATTATATGTAAAAGTAGCTAAAATGGTAATCTACAGTAACTTCAGCCAATACAGCCAGAAAAGTAACTTCAACCTTACTTTTTCTGATTATTACACAATTGAGCGCGCGAAAGCAAAATTTACGTGTTTGGTGAAAAAGTTGGCTGATAAGCCTGATAAGCTGAAAAACAGTGTTGCCAAACGGCCTCTTGGTAGTATTAAAATGGGCTGTTTTGGCTGATTCTGCTGAGATTTATGAAATTTTGGCTGAAGTGACTGTTTTGGCTGATTCTGCTGATTTAAGAAAAAAATATTTTAAAAATATATTTTATTAATAAAAGTAAGAAAAAAATAAATGTAAAAATAGCTAAAATTGTCATCTACAGTAACTTCAGCCAATACAGCCTGAAAAGTAACTCCGATCTTACTTTTTCTGCTTATTACACAATTCAGCTCGCGAAAGTAAAAGCTACGTGTTTGGTGGAAAAACTGGCTGATAAGCCTGATAAGCCGAAAAAAGATGTCTCCAAACGGGCTCTTAATTGCACGATAGGTGATTAGCAATTAAAAACTTGCATCGAGATCATATCCAGTTGCATATGTAATGTTTAAAATTCCTATAAAGTGGCTCTGAGATATTTAAATTTAGAGCCCGTTTGGCAACACTGAAATCGGCTGTTTTGGTTGATTCTGCTGAAATTTCTTAAGTTCTGGCCGAAGTGGCTGTATTGGCTGAATCTGCTGATTTTAAAAACAACTATTTTTAAAATATATTTTATTAATAAAATAAAGAAAAAATTATATGTAAAAATAGCTAAAATGGTAATCTACAGTGGCTTCAGCCAAAACAGCCAGTAGTGTAACTCCAACCTTACTTTTTCTGCTTATTACACAACTCAGCGCGCGAAAGTAAAAGTTACGCGTTTGGTGAAAAAGTTGGCTGATAAGCCTGATAAGCCGAAAAACAGTGCTGCCAAACGCCCTATTAAGCTTAATTTGTGCCTTTTAAAAATTCTAAACATTTTAGATATGAATATGCCTTTTCGAGAAAGAGTCAGCCATTTAAATATTCAAAAATAAATTACGGCTCATTTAAGAGTCTGTGCCTTTCGAAATTTCCAAAGGTTTCAAATATAAATATGCCTTTTAAAATTTCTAGATATGAAAATGAAAACATATTTGTGCCCTTTCGAATTTCTTAAGGTGTTAAATAATAATATGCTTTTTGGAATGTATAAAAACAAAGAGTGACGGCTCATTTTTGACACATCATTCACAGGAAATGTTTCAAAGCCCAATACTTTGGTCTTTGTGATAATTTAATTATTAAATTAATGATTTGCATAGTGACACTATATATATAAAACATATGCCGACAATAAGAGCTCAATCAAAACCCTACTACTTCCCATTTTGACTCCCCATTTTGAAAGGTTGAGATGGAAACATGCTGGATTGAACACAAGTCATACTGTGTAGAGGGAATACAAGTCATTGCTGCCGTATGAAGGAGGTAAACAAATGTAAACAATGAAAATTTTTATGCAAGCAATTCGTTGCCTCTTTGTATAGGTATTTAGTTGTCACTTTTAGATAAATTTTATGCAAAGAATGTGTTGAAAGAAAGGTGCATACCTTAAGTAGCTGCACAAGTTTGGATATTTTAAGTACCTGCATAAGTTTGCCTATCTTATGTTGCTCCATAAGATAGCATACCTGCTAAAAAATGATATACTTTAATGTAGCTCCACAATTTTACTGAAAAGAAAATGATTGCATATGTAAATGTATAATGGTTGGTTCAGTTGTGTGGTTGTTTTCTTTTAATAATTTCACTTAGAATTGAAAGAAGATATAAGTTTACTATATATTTTGATGAATGATAGATGCACTTATCATAAACTGAAAAAGACGGTTTCCATAAAAGTTAACTTACGTTTTGTCATACATTTCTGTTTATTGTACACATTGTTGAGGTCAAATTACATACTCTCACTTCTTAAAAATTTGTGAAGGTACCTGTTAAAGCATTAGATGGTTTAGAGGCTTATATCTTTCATTCATTGAATGTAGCATATTTTGCAGAACCATTAGGAAAAAAATATAAATGGTCAAGCTTACAAAGAGTGCACAATTTGGGAGAAAAAGAGGTGTAGCTGTCACCAATGATAAAGGTAAGACCGTAAATTGATTTCTAAAGTCAGAGCACAGCATGCAGTGCAATATTTAAATTTTATTTTAGTAAAACAGTTCAAATTTGTACTATATGGATGATGAATAAAAATTTAATTGAATAAATAAACCATATGAAGTCAAATATGTTTAATTGAAGTTGCATCTCTGTATTATGGTTCGGATTTAAAAAATAAGAGTTTTTATTCAAACCAGACTGAATAAAAACGAGATTTACATATTCCCGTACATTTTGTACTAACGATGGCAGATTTACAAAATAATGGAAGTACTTCAGAATCTATACAAAGTAGGGGAAAAAACACTTATCTCTCCAAATTCGTTGAAGATTGTGGCTGAGATCCTTCAGATTTCTCTGAAAATGAAATCGGGAAATGTATTGATTGTCGTTTCTGCCGGTGTGGTTCACGTAGAAGATGAAGATGGCTTATTATTTTCGTTCCTGGGATTTTGGGCTGCAATAAAAAGTTGGACAATTGGACAATTGGTTTTTTGGGCCTAAACTGCTTGGCTGGAATAAAAAAAATGGCAATGGGGCTGAATTTTGAATTGATTTGTGAAATATTTACAACTTTTAATGCATTATGCATATAAAAAAGATCTAGGTAAAAATTATATTTTTTAAATGCAACGATAGGACTATTTTGAAATATATGGCTATTTTATTTGAAATTCATGAAGTGTTATATCAATTAAAACAAATTGTGAATATAAATCTATTATTATTTTAAGAATCAAATTACAAGAATGGTTAAAAATATATAAAGAAAACTTGATTATGATTGTTTTTATAACTCACATTATTAACTTTTGTTTTTTATATTACTTCATTAGCTTAATCTCATATGTTAATAAAAAAAATTAGTACATTATATATTTATATAAATTTCATTAATATTACAGATGAAAATGGTGGCCCGTTGCTTAAAAAAAATAAGCAAACAATGGCCTCAGATCCACTCTCAGGATTACCTTTGAAAGAGATTATAAATGGTAATTTCTTAAATTTCGATATGTGACATTTATGCCTATGTATACAATTTAGAATTTGTTTTGATTTTGCTTCATTTCATAAAATATAGAAAATATTCCGTCGAGTTTTCAATGTCAGCATTCATCTCAAGGGAATAATGTTAAGCGCTATGTATACCTCCAGCATTTGTGGAATGTAAATCCACTTGAATGTCATCTACCTCTAAGAGGTAGAAGCCATAAAGGTGAGTAATCACATTTTTATGTATTTTTATATAGTTTGTTAAATGTGTAATGTGTATTTAAAGAATGACAATAATTTTAGATGTAGGTGGCTCATCTCAACAAATTCTTGAAATAAATAATTGTCTCGAGCCACTATCTGAGAATGCGGATGCAATGGAACTGGACATGCAGAGAGTGGATTATTCCAACTTGAATGAAGGTGATGTTGGGGGGAAAAGTGATTCCAGTAACGGTCTAGCTGGTAAATCTATCATCAAATGGCAATTTTATAAAGTTTTTTCAAAATGTAAAATCTCATTTTGAACAGTAGTAATTTTAGATGTAGGTGGTCCCTCTCAACAATTTCCTGAAATAAATAATTATCTTGAACCACCTTCCAAGAATGTGGATGCAATGGAATTAGATATACAACGAGTGGCTCAATCCAATTTAAATGACAGTGATGATGACGGAGATGGTGATTTGAATAATGTTTCAACTGGTAATTTTATCACCAAACATCAACTTTGTAATGTTAATATAGTTAAATTAGTATTACTAATAATCTATTCAATAAATTTCAACATAATTTTTGAGGTTAACAGTGTTTGCATAATTTTAGGTTATTGGGATTTTGGAGATCCTTCTTTCGTTTGTAGCTTTTGTGGAGCCTTATTTTGGTATGAGGAGAGATTAGCGGCTCATTATAAAGCGAAAGATCCAAAATATTCTGGGTGTTGTTTGCAAGGAAACATACAATTGCCACTCATAAAAAGGCCTCCATTATTTATTGAAAATCTTTTTATGGGGCAAGATGAAAGGAGTAAACATTTTTTGCAAAATATTCGTTCGTACAATAATATGTTCTCCTTCACATCTTTGGGTGGGAAAATTGATTCCACCTTGCATGACGGAAAATCACCCCCAGTATTTAAGTTACATGGACAAAACTTTCATTTGATGGGGAGTTTGTTACCGTCTGAATCTGTGGTTCCCAAATTTGCACAATTGTACATATATGATACGGAGAATGAAGTCTATAATAGAATTCATTCTGTGCGGTAAGACTGTTGTATGTGTGAACATAAATTAATGTGTAAATCACTTTTTTATTGTTTACTAATTATATATCTAATATTTCTTTTGTTTACTTAGGAAAAAAGGAGAATCTCATGATCTGCATGAAGAAATTGTTGAGGGGTTGAAAAATACTCTTGATGAGCATAATGTGCTGGTGAAATCTTTTAGAATGGCCGGAAAGAAAATCCATGAAGAAGGATGTGTTGAGTTTAGGTTGAAGCTTATAGGAAAAAGAGCAAAGGATGGAAGAACATACAATCTACCTTCAGTGTCAGAGGTTGCAGCTTTGGTTGTAGGCGATTTTGATTTGTCACTTGGGGAAAGAGATATTTTAGTTGAGACTTGCACTGGGAGGTTGCAACGGATTAATGAATTACATCCTTCATATTTAGCACTCCAATATCCACTTTTATTCCCATATGGGGAAGATGGATTTAGAGAAGACATACCTCTATGTAATAGAAAATCGAATCAAACTCGAGCGAGAAAAATGATGAGCATCCGAGAGTTCCTTGCATATCGCTTGCACGAAAGAAACACAGAGTTATCTATTATATTGCGTGCTAAAAAGTTATTTCAACAATTTGTTGTTGATGGCTATACTTTGATTGAATCGAGCAGGTTAAGGTATATTCGCAATAATCAAAGGCAATTGAGATGTGAAATGTTTAAAGGACTGAATGATGCTTTATTGCGTGGTGACACAAATCCTGCCGCACAAGGGAAGCGCATTATACTCCCATCTACGTTTATAGGTGGGGCAAGGTATATGATTCAAAACTATCAAGATGCAATGGCCATATGTAGGTGGATGGGATATCCAGATTTATTTATAACTTTCACGTGCAATTCAAAATGGCCAGAAATACAACGATACCTTGATGAGCGCGATCTCAAACCAGAGGATCGACCGGATATTATTTGTCGAGTCTTTAAGATGAAGTTAGATGGTTTGATCAATGATTTCCGTCGCAACAAGATATTTGGCACTGTTAAGGCAGGTATGTCAAAAAATTATTAAAGATTTTAATAATTAAGATTATTGTTATGTGATTATAATCACTAATTTTATTCATAATAATCCTTTTCAACTAATGATCACTTTTTAAATTGCAATGTTATATTGTAGTTATATACACCATTGAGTTCCAGAAGCGTGGATTGCCACATGCCCACATTTTGTTGTTTCTTGAGAGAAGTGAAGATCTAGCAACAACGGAATACATTGATAAGATCATTTCTGCTGAAATTCCTAATGAAGAGATGGATCCCGAGTATTTTAATGCTGTGAAAGACTTTATGATGCATGGACCATGCGGAAATTTGAGAAAGAAAGCTCCTTGCATGGTAGATGATAGATGCTCGAAACATTTCCCAAAAAGATTTGTGGATCACACCACTTTGGACGAAGATGGATATCCCGTGTATAGGAGAAGACATGATCAGAGAACTATTTCAAAAAATGGAGTGGAGTTAGATAATAGATATGTGGTGCCTCATAATAGATATTTATTGCTCAAATATGCAGCACACATAAATGTGGAGTGGTGCAATCAGTCTAGATCTATCAAATACCTGTTCAAATATGTGAACAAAGGAAATGATAGAATAACTGCAGCGTTCTACCAAAGTGCAAATGGAGAAAATGCTGATGATAATGTGGATGAAGTGAAAATGTATTATGATTGCAGATACATTTCATCATGTGAAGCTGCATGGAGAACTTTGGGATTTGAGATTCAATATAGAAGTGTTGGTGTGGAGAGATTAAGCTTTCACTTGCCTAATGAACAAGTCGTTTATTTTAACGACTTAGAGCCCATAGATGAAGTTCTTGATAAGCCAAGTGTGAAAGAAAGTATGTTTCTTGCTTGGTTCAAAGCAAATGAGATATACCCTGAAGCAAGAAACTTGACTTATGCTGAGATGCCACTTAGATTTGTATGGAAGCGAGCTACTAGAGAGTGGGTTCCGAGAAAGAGAGGTTTTGCTATTGGAAGATTATTTTATGTGCCACCAGCTTGCGGTGAATTATTCTATCTTAGATGTCTTCTGAATGTTGTTCGTGGACCAACATGTTTTGAAGATATAAAGAAGGTTGATGGTGTCCAATATGACACATTTCGTGATGCTTGCTACGCTTTAGGTCTGCTAAACGATGATAAGGAATATATAGATGCAATTAAAGAAGCAAGTTTCTGGGCAACAGCACATTGTTTGCGAAAATTGTTTGTAGCTTTGTTAATTGCTGATTGTTTAAGTAGACCAGAAGATGTTTGGGAAAAGTGTTGGGTTTTTTTATCCGAAGATATCCTACACAAGCAGCGAGTGATGCTTAATCATCCAGGTATATTTGTATGTTATTTTCCGTATATTGAAATTTTCATTATACAAATGTCTTTATCATTATAATTATTCATTGTAGATCTTACATTATCGGATGAAGAATTGAAGAATTGTGCTTTGTATGAAATTCAAAAGATGTTACGCAGTTGTGGAAAAAGTTTGGAAGAATTCCATTGCATGCCATGTCCTGATACCAGATTTTTATCAAAAAATACCAATCGATTGGTGTATGATGAGTTGAGGTATGATCGAGCAAAGTTGGTAGAGGAGCACAAGGAGCTGTTGGGTAACCTAACTGTGGAACAAAGAACTGTTTATGACACGATAATGTATGCTGTTGATTCAAATAAAGGTGGAGTCTTTTTTGTGTATGGGTATGGCGGCACTGGAAAAACTTTTGTATGGACGACTCTTTCTGCTGCTATACGTTCCAGAGGAGAGATAGTATTGAATGTTGCATCGAGTGGAATCGCGTCGCTATTGCTCCCAGGAGGTCGAACTGCCCATTCTCGGTTTAAGATTCCAATCCATCCCAATGAAGATTCTACGTGCAATATAAAACAAGGTAGTGCTCTTGCTGAACTTCTGGTCAAATGTAAGCTTATAGTTTGGGATGAAGCTCCAATGGTGCATAAACATTGCTTTGAAGCTTTAGACCGAACTCTACGTGATATTTTGCGGTTTCAAAACCCAAGAAGTCTTGAAATACCCTTTGGTGGAAAGACAATAGTGTTTGGTGGAGATTTCAGACAAATCCTACCTGTCATACCTAAGGGAACCAGGCAAGATATTGTGAATGCATCTATAAATTCTTCCTATTTGTGGCAGCATACACATGTCATGCGTTTAACTAAAAATTTGAGACTTCTTCATTTGCCAGCTAACGATCAAACAGAATATTTGGTAAAGTTTTCCGAATGGATTGCAAGCATTGGTGATGGCACCATTGGAGGACCAAATGATGGTTTTGTGGAGATTGAGATTCCAGATGAATTTTTATTAAAAGATTTTGATGATCCTATAGCAAAAATGGTTGATTGTATTTATCCTTCCTTTGATGCCGTTCATGAAGATCCCAACTATTTAAAAAATAGAGCAATATTGGCCCCCACCCTCCAAGTTGTTGACAGCATCAATGATTACATGCTTTCCTTAAATGGTTCTGAGATGAAAACGTACCTTAGTTCTGACAGCCCGTGTAAATCAGATTCAAATCCTGACTTTTTAGCCAACATCCATACTCCAGAATTTTTGAATGGTATTAAAGCTTCAGGAGTTCCAAATCATGAACTGCATCTTAAAGTTGGAACACCGGTGATGCTAATGCGGAACCTTGATCATTCTCAAGGGTTGTGTAATGGGACCAGGATGGTTATTACCAGATTAGGTAAGCATATTTTGGAAGCAAAAGTTTTGACAGGATTGAGTGCAGGTGAGAAGGTTTTGATACCGAGAATGTCTTTGACTCCATCTGATGTGAGATTGCCTTTCAAGTTTGAAAGAAGACAATTTCCTTTGATCGTCTCATATGCCATGACTATAAATAAGAGTCAAGGACAATCATTGTCCAATGTTGGATTAGTCTTAAAAAAACCTGTTTTTAGTCATGGTCAGTTATACGTTGCGCTTTCACGTGTCACTAATCCCACTGGTTTGAAAATAGCTATATGTGACACAGATGGGAAAAGTACCAATGTAACGATGAACGTTGTATTTAAGGAAATATTCCGAAATTTGTAAGACAATTTGTTTTCAGGTTCTATAAATGTTCATTTGTATTTATATTGATATTACTACTTCCATCGTACTCTTATGTATGTACAAAATGTTACTAAAATTTTGAAGTTGTGTCACTATTTTTTTTATATCTTATACCATACATCTTTGAATGTAATTATTTCCCGTGCATCGCACGGGTAGAATACTAGTACGTATGTAATTTGCATACCTTGTGAGCATGTAACTACCAACTACCAACGTTTTTGTCATGCTGATTTCAAGCCAGTTATTTATCACAAAAATCAAATCAAATATAATACTCGGTACATTTTTCAAATAGAAGTAACTCTTACTTTTCTAAATGCGACTCAATAATTACTCCCTAATAAAATCTTAAGGTGAAAATTTGGAACAATTATAGAGGATCAAAGCAATCACATATTCACATGTGGGAATTAAGTGTCAACATTAGGAGGGTTCCTCGTGTATAATGGATAATGTTTAATTCTTTCACCTACTTTATTTGATTCTTGGATCAAATCAAGCGCTCACTCTGATCGAGTTTTTCCATAAAAAGCACACTTTCAATTGGAAAGTATACCTATTTTTCAGATGTACTTAACCAACTTATTTAACCATCAGTTCATTCCGAAACTTTTCAATTGAAAAGTTACACCTACTTTTCTAATGAGCCTAATGGTATACTACGTACTTTTCACCTATTTCACCTACTTTCAATTGAAAAGTACACCTACTTTCACAATGGGATTATTGGTGTACTTTTCAAGAGAAAACTTACCAATATTTTAAATAGGTGTACACACCGATTCATCTACCTACTTTTATGTCTTTTAAGGTGCACTTGACCAATTGTTGTTGTTGGGGTTGAAGTTGATATCTTAATTAACTATGTCCATGATTATTGTGGAGAATGTCTTATTAAAGATGTTTTTTACTCGACTGTATGATTTCAATTACAAATATGATTTTATCTGATTAGGCCAAATTTAAACAGACTGAATGAGAACATACTAGATTTGACCTTGACAATTGCAATTTACACATATAATACTCCCTTTGATTCAAAAACAAGTTCCATATTTGACTTCACACATATTAAGAAAAGAAATTTGACTTTACTGTGGGGTGCATTGTTTGGACATTGTTTGGACACTGTTTGACACTATTTGACAATGTTTGACACTGTTTGGAACTGTTTTGATGTAGATAATTTGCCAAATAAGGGGAGGTTTGAAAGTGGAACTTAATTTTGGAACTGCGCGAAAAGGAAATGTGAAACTTATTTTTGAATCTGGAGTATATATATCCCCATTGAGATCATACAAATTACAATTCAATTAAAAAACATTTTAATAAATCGTATCATCAATTTACTTCTTTCACCTACTCTATATATGGTCAATCCAAAGAGTTACGTAACAAGATTAGTGTTGGCCGATAGAATATTTCTCATGAAATTTTTCCACAAAAAACAAATACTTCTACCAAATTTTAACAACCCCAATCTCCACTTATCCAAAGAAATATCCAAGCCGGCCCGCCACGCCAGCATTTATTGACTAGGAAAGATGAAGGTTAGGTCCCACCCAACCGCCCTCAACCGACTAAAGAATCAAAGGCCCGCCTTTTCTTTAACTTTTCGCAATCTCACTTGGCGGGTGAGATGAATAATTAATGAGTCTATGAAATGTTGGTATAACGAATTAAGGATGTTTCGTTTTGGATTGAAATTTGAAGGTCTAGTCTGGTTTAATCTGAACTGGTCTGATTTAGTCTAACAGTGTCCAATGTCTATTTATTTTATAACTTTGTAAATCTGGTCTGGTCTAAGATTGAAAACCGTCCAAAAGAAAATATCATTACTCTATTTTGATACTTTAACTTTCAAATGGATATAATCAGTACCAAAATATACATAAATGTTTCAATTGACAATATTACTTAAATTTGGACCAAAAAAACATACGTGACGGTTGAAATTATATGCATAAAGTCCTTTTCACCTTACGTGTATCATGTCATCACCATAGAGGGGACAATACACATAAAACTTTGATCGTTGTGTAAAATTTTTGATCGCAAATTTAAATAATAATGTTAATTGAAACATTTATATGTAATTGTGATATTGATTACTTTCATTTAAAAATAAGGTACTAAAACGAACAATATCAATAATTAAGGTATCATTTATGCATCTCCCTTAACTTAATTACCTTTTGGAGCGATCTGGCGCGTCAGTATATAAATGGATGACATGGACAAGAGACATAGCTTGTTTCTACGTGAATTAATTTATGCGATTGATCATATTCTTATTATTTTGTTTTAAGTTAGAGCTCTATTATTTAGAAACAATATACGAAGTATATGATGACACGTTCGGCACTACTTGAGCGTAGATGGCTGCTGATTGCAGCGGTGGTTCTACTCTCCCCGCCGCCGCTTATGGCGTCTCGTCGTGTCATACGGCGGCCTGTAAAGGTCAACTCCGACGAACCGCCTTCGTTCCCGGCCGGCTTCCTTTTAGGCACGGCTTCCTCTTCTTATCAGGTCCGAACATATATTTTCACGTATTATTGGTTTTGATTTGTTTGATTCCTTAAGTCCATCCACACAATTTCTGTGTCAATGTTTTGCAGTTTGAAGGAGGGTACATGGATAATGGTAAAGGCCTCAGTAACTGGGATGTTTTCACCCACAAATCAGGTATTTTTTATACGGAGTATATTGTTTTCGTATTTTTTTTTATAAAACTAGTGAACAATTTTTTTTCCAAATTAGTCTAAATAGAACTAAAACAGTTCACTAAAAGATTTATTTAAAGAATTTTTTAGTATTCCGAAAAAAGATCTAGGGAAAATAAAATTCCTCTTTAATTCTTAATTGCAGCCAATAATATAGAAGATGGAAGCAATGGAGATGTTGCAGACGATCAATACCACCGATTTCAGGTCAGTCAGATTTTCAATCCCAATCACTTTTTGGCATTATTTCTATTTTATACTCATATTCCGTATGACAGAAATTTGGAAGGAAAAACTGTAGGAAATACTGGTGTTTTCATAATTGTCGATTTACTCACGTGCAAATAAGACTTCGTATCTTGCAATTAATAATATTTTTTCAAATTAACAAACTTTTAACCAGAATTAATGTACTGTTCTGGCGAAACATGCCGCGCTGGCAATAGTTTTTTCGTTCGTTGGATGTTTTCGGAAATTGTAAATCTCTAAATACTTTTACCAACTCGGATTTCTGGATCGGCTCATTTTTTTACTCTACGGGTCGGTGGGAGGAGGGCTAGAGAGCTGGAGTAATATGGGCTGAAACTCACTTCATTGGATTTAACCCCATGTGCCTAGGTTTCGAACTCGAAACCTCTTACTAGGCACGAGTTTCAACCCCTATCCGCTCATGTTAACATAATATACTCCAAAATTCCACTTACTAATTTTGGATGTTCCAATTCTTTTTCTTATTTCCATTTTTTGAAAAGTTTTGTGTGACCAACAATTACTCCTTTTGCAACGAAAAAATTTTCTCATCATACCCTTAATACTTTTGAAAATAATACACGGTTACCAATGTTCTAAAAGGCGCTAGGCGCTAGTCTAGTGCCAGCCCAGCGCCTAGGCGGCTAGGCGGGCGCCTAGTCGAAGGCTAGTCGGAGACATAAAAATTGTATTTTTATCTATATTATTGTATAGATATGATAAGCAATGTTGTATTTTTGTGTGTATAAAAACATATACATTAACATTAACAAACATGAATGATAGAATTATCACATTTAATCATATGTAGTATATGATAACTAATCACTTAACTTCACTATGGTATAAATATAAATAATGATAAAATTTGGGTATTTGTACAAACATATATAGGTTTATCTTAATTTTCAACTTCATTTCTTTATATCCATGGCTATAGTTAAAATACGTATATCGCTTAGAAAATTAAAATTAAAAATTAAAGTAATGTTAGGCGCTCTAGGCGGGCAACTTGGCGCCATAAGCGGCCGACTAATTCACTAGATGGCTAACCAATTAGTCGGAGTGCCTAGACAAAAATCAGGGCTCCTGACCACCACCTAGCGCCTAGGCGGGGCCTAGTCAGACGCCTAGAATGATTTTTAGAACAGAGACTGTTATAACTACTTTTTTTGGATTTATCCTTCATTTCATCACATTATTACACTATGTTCTCATCATACCCTCAGTAATTCATATCCACTTTCACTATTCTTAATCTACCTAATTTTGAAATGGGAAGGTTTTTAAGTTATAAAGGGAGTATTTATTTTTTTCTTACTCAATCATAATCATACATTTTCAATTTATTCCCACTTTCTTAATAAGCATGCCAAGTCACACTGGGAAATATTTTGTGTGAAGGAAGGAGTATTAGGAAGTGTTTGCGATTGCTGCTACTTTAAAAAAGTGATTTGTTAAAGTGATATTTTGAAAAAAGGGCTTAATAATAAAAGTTGGTAGTGTTTGAGAAAAACGTGCTTTTGAAAAAATAAAAATGGGTAGTGTTTGGTAATAATGTTTTTTTGTATAATAGAAAAGTGAAAAACAATTTAAAGTTTAAACCATCTCTCTACATGCTTCTAATTTGGCTAAAGGGTCAAATAGACCCATGTACCGGTCGTGTAAGCTGAATTCAGTTACTGAACTAAAAAAAACTTCAATTAGCACCTTGAACCGAAAAAAAATGGTTCAAATTTCATTTTTACGGGTAAACAATCGGTCATTTTTTTTTTAAAAAAAATGTTTCTGTTTTTATTTTTGATTTATGGGAATTTTGACACTTTTTAGTAGTTTAAGGGTGCGAATTGGACTCTTTTTACCGGTTTTATATTTGTGAAAAATGAAATTTGAACCTCCTTTTCGACGGTTCAGGGTGGGAATTGAACCTTTTTTAGTTAAGAGACTGAATTGAGCTTACACGACTGGTACAAGTGTCTATTTGACCCTTTAGGCTTTAGCTTCTAATTTTTAGATTTAAAATGTTTTTTTAAAATGTTAGCT